TAAATGTTGCCCATCTAAACCTATGGTCAGTTCTCACACCTTGTTGATTCTTTTAATCTGAATTAATCAGTATCAGGTCCAACACTTCATAAAGGTAAAAATAGATCTTGTGCTATCATCCGTTTATTCAGTTTCCAATCTTGGAATTATTGATACTGCTGTCTCTGACCATCTTATGGTTGTGTTTGATTCCACATTGCCTTCTTCCCAGTTATCTGAGGTGGTCTTGCATAGGAATCTTGCTTACTGTTCCTAAGACATTTTACAATCCTATTTAAGGAAGTTTTTGTTACAATCTGCCCCCTCTTACTGGCTATAATTAATAGCAGTTTAACAAATGGTGTCATCCCTTCCACTTTTAAACATGCAAATGTAAATCCACAATAAAAAAAACTGTAAAAACCACACTGTAAAAAATGCCTGTGAAATCCACAGTAGTTGCAGGATACTAATACTGAGTAACTGAGTATATTGGGTGATCAAAGAGTTACTGTGAAAATCACAGTAATCAGGTTGCTACCCTAAAAAATCACAGTAACAATGTACTGTAGATAATCACAGTAACTAACAGTGTACTGTAGATAATCACAGTAACTAACAATGTACTGTAGATAATCACAGTAACTAACAATGTACTGTAGATAATCACAGTAATGATCACTGTAGTTACAGTATACTAATACACACTAACATATTGTGTAATCAAAGAGTTATTGTGAAAATCACAGTAATCAGGTTGCTATCCTAAAAAATCACAGTAACCAACAATGTACTGTAGATAATCACAGTAACCAACAATGTACTATAGATAATCACAGTAACCCACAATGTACTGTAGATAATCACAGTAACCCACAATGTACTATAGATAATCACAGTAACTAACAATTTACTGTAGATAATCACAGTAACCCACAATGTACTATAGATAATCACAGTAACTAACAATTTACTGTAGATAATCACAGTAACCAACAATGTACTACAGATAATCACAGTAACTAACAATTTACTGTAGATAATCACAGTAACCAACAGTGTACTGTAGATAATCACAGTAACCAACAATGTACTATAGATAATCACAGTAACTAACAATTTACTGTAGATAATCACAGTAACCAACAATGTACTATAGATAATCACAGTAACTAACAATGTACTATAGATAATCACAGTAACTAACAATGTACTATAGATAATCACAGTAACTAACAATATACTGTAGATAATCACAGTAACCAACAATGTACTATAGATAATCACAGTAACTTACAGTGTACTGTAGATAATCACAGTAACTTACAGTGTACTATAGATAATCACAGTAACCAACAATGTACTATAGATAATCACAGTAACTAACAATGTACTATAGATAATCACAGTAACTAACAATGTACTGTAGATAATCACAGTAACCAACAGTGTACTGTAGATAATCACACTAACTTACAATGTACTGTAGATAATCACAGTAACCAATAATGTACAGTAAATAATCAAGTAACCAACAGTGTACTGTAGACAATCACAGTAATGATCATTGTACTGTAGATAATCACAGTAACAAACAATCTACTATAGATAATCACAGGAACGATCATTGTACTGTAGATAATCACAGTAACCAACAATGTACTTTAAAAAATTACAGTAACCAACAGTGTACTGTAGATAATCACAGTAACCAACAATGTACTTTAAAAAATCACAGTAACCAACAGTGTGCAGTGAATATCACAGTTTATTAATTTAATACCTGCAGACCTCAGTGTAAAGAATAAAAAGCAACGGTAAAAGGACACAGCCTTGCAGGGGACCAGATGACATGTACAAGACATCAGATAATGGGACACTGAGCAGGACTCTCTGTGACCTGAAAGTCCATTATCCACAAAATAAGTCTATCATCTAGGTGGAGAGTAGAGAGTTTCTCAGCGAGAAAATGTGGGTGCAGGGTGTTAAATGCTGAGGAGAAATCAGCAAAAAGGAGTCTGGCTGTCATTTTGGGAAAATCCACATGTTTGTGGATGGTGTCTTTAATAAAAACCTTTGCATTGTCCACCTATGTACCAGCGCGATAAGCAAGCTGAAGTGGGTCTGTAAGTCTGTTATCTTAATAATATGATTTTTGATGACCCTCTCCATAGCTTTCATCATCAGAGAGGTGAGGGTCACTGGCCTGAGGTCATTCATGATCTTGATAACACCTTTTTTTAGGTATGGGAATAACTGTGGAATCCTTCCACAGCTGAGGGACTGTGCCACCATCCAAGGATCTCTGGAAAAACAACTGGAACACCCCCCCAGCTGCTCGGCACAGTACGTCAAAGTACGACCATTGAAGGCCCTGTTGCTACACTGTAAGAAAAGATACAGCATATCTACTCAATAAAAATGAGGCAACAGATTACAAGCAATATTATTAATAAAATTTTACAATGTTTGGTATTGAATGAATATTAATTAAATGAGACCCTTAATAGTTATCCATTCAATATGAGTAGATTCAAATAGAAAACAGTACAGAATTAATTATAACCTAAACAAAAAGAGTTGATTTGAAAAAGACAAACTCCCTAATGTGTAAATAGTACTACTGTTATGAGCTGGCTCAAAGGCCACAACAAAAGGGAGACGCACCATGGTAAACATTTAACAAAATATGGTTATTTAAACCAATAAACCATAGACTGTATAGAAAAAAACAAAAAACAGTATATTCTAAACAGACACGTTTAAAAAAACATAATTCACACAGTACATTTTGTATTTCAAACAAATAGGAGACTTGGATTTTAACAAAACTCCCTTCACCGCCATGCTTCATGGGAATTATTGACAGGAAGTGCTTTTCAATTAAAATTTGCCTGATCAAATTAATTTGAATTCACTCAATATCCTCTCTATTTAGGATTAGATAAATATAATGCTTATGCTTTTGGATTTTATTCCAAACATCCAACCAACCGCCTAATCTGCGTATAGGGTTGTGGGGGGCTGTAGCCAATCCCTGCTGTCATCGGGCAAAAGGCGGGGTACACCCTGGGTAGGTTGCCAGTCCATCACAGGGCCACACACAGACAAACAACCACTCACACCCAAGGACCATGTAGGGTCACCAATTAACCTAGTATATGGACGGTTGGAGGAAGCCAGAGCACCCGGAGAGAACCCACGCAGACACGGGGAGAACATACAAACTCCACACAGAAAGGCCGAGGCAACCGCTGTGAGGCGACAGCGCTAACCAATGCACCACCATGCCGCCTTATTCCAAACATTTTTATTTAAAATTTAATTAAATATTTGCCTAAAAATCAAAAACACAAACATATTGAACATATTTTACCTAATACATTAATTCAAATCTACATGACCACAGAATCCTTTTTTAGTGTGTATTGAGGGGTCAGTATTCACAGTTGCCATGTTCTTAATACCCTGCCAGCTGGTGCCAGAAAAATAGTGTGGTGTCAGCTGAACCAAGAGGTGGTAGGTCAAAATATTTATTTGCCCGTGGAACTGAGCAATAGTATTTATCCAATGTCTTCCTCAAGGGGTAGTGCAGAAGACTTATTGGTTAAATTTTTTTTATGTTTATCAAATGAACAATGATTAAAATCACCCAGAATGAATTTGGGAGAGTCTGGAGATATAACTTCAATTTTTTTTAATGTTCTCTTAATGTGTTCGATGACTGTGGTTGCATTCGCTCTGGGATGAACATACAACAAAATAAAAAAGAGCTGTGGAATTTCCCTAGGTAGGTAGAATATGCCTGGTCTCAGCTGTTAGTAATCACTAAAGAATAACCTCGTCGAACTACATGGAGACTTTGATCCTCGACAATAAAGATCCAAACACCATATTAAATGTTAAAAAGTTGCATTGAGCAGTGTCCCAGAAGCATATCAGAAGCAGAAAGATAAAGAGAGTAGTAGAAATGCAAAGATGTGGATGCAAATTAGAAGCAATCCTACATGTACATGTCTTCACACCACCGAGATTGCATTCTCTGATTGACCCACCCAATATTAAATACTGGTCTGAAATCAGTGTATACAGTGATTTAGCACTGTATATCCCTGTTAAGAAAATGATAGGAGTGTTGTATTATGTACAGTATTTGTAATGGTTCAATTTCTTTGTTTATTGACATAAACCACACACACACACACATCTCCTGAATACAATCACGTTCGCCAACCTTCCAACTCAACCCTTATTCTCATTTCCTGTATGAAGTCAGTGCATGTCTGGGTACTTCAGAAGTGAATCCTGGCCTTAAGTAGTGTTCTGGCCAACACTCTAGGTTGAGAGCGGTGGTAAATACGACTGGTGCCTTACAGCCCTGCAACCTAGCTGTTATGTCAGTTACAGTTGAAGGTATTATAAAATTTGAAACGACCCTAGCTGTTACTACTATTATACTAACTATATTTATCTATTTGCTGTCTGTCACAGTATCACAGATTTGTTAAATTTTGTTTCCCATTTGTAATTTACTATATTCTGTGGTGTTCAGTTTATGACACATTTATACTTTATTTTTCTTATTTTACATTTGTACTTGGTTGTTGTCTTAGTTTGTTTTGTCATACAGTATGATTACCTGCACTAACTGGTGTTGATATATTCCAAAGTCAAGTCAAAGTAATTTATTTTCATATGCACCAAATTACATTACATCATCAGGAGCAGAGATAATGTGACATGGCTTGTGATAGGTAGGCATTAAACATATATTAGACATTATCTATATGCGTATGCATTTGAAAGAAATACAAAATATTAAAATACAAAATTAAACTTAAAAAATGTAAACAAAGAGAGCAGCCATCCTACAAATTCCTGTAAGGAATGCTATTTCTTTGAAAATGAAACTAAAGAAGAAGTAGTAAACATAGTGGGAAGGTAAACAGATCCTGCTTGATACACCTTCTACCAACAAAAACACAGTGACAGATGCACGCACGCACACACACACACACACACACACACACACAGGTGAAGTTGTGCCATGGGGAGGTGACACCAGGAGTATATAAAGCAAATCTTGTAGTCATCTCTTTAGTTTTTCTTTTATCACCTGTACAGCCGCTCTCCTTCCATTTACATCACAGGTAAGGTCAGAAACTCTAACTCACTATAAGATGCATTGGACTGTAGACTTTTAAATATTACTTTTTACAAGTTAAATTCTTTATTGATTATTTATGCTTTGTCAGTTTTATTTAGAACAGCGATGGCAGCTTTGTCCAGGAGCAGAGGAAGCCTGTTCTTCATCTTCACTCTGGTTTGCTTTGCATGTTCACACAGGAAGAAATGGGTAAATTTATTGTTGCTTAACCTTCCTTAGCAATAGAAATAAATTCCACATGTATATGCAAGTTCACAGCCATTATAAGTAAATTTACTGTTCAAATTTTCTGAATTTTTTTATCTGCATTTGTTTGCGCCAATGTGCTCTACAATACAGCTACAGTAAAGCTTACATGTCTTAAAATGCAACTGCATGTTGATTCTCACCCTGAATGTGCAGGAAATTTACAAGAAATTCATTGAAAAGCAACAACAAACACTGGACAGTTTAAAGGCAAGTCTGTCAGTCTGTTTCCATGTGCTCAAAAGGCCGGTGGTAGTAACTTTTGTCATGAAATACTCAGGGAAAACAGGAACACAGGAACTCATTCACAAGTGAATGTAACAACATAGAAAATTGAGTTGTATTTTTTTTTCTCCCCATTAGACAGAAAGGGCCATCACTGCAGAGCTCATGAGTTACTCTATGAGTATGATGGACCCCCTGACAGCATTAGTGAAGAAACTCACGGAAGAATCACCTGACTTTCCATCACTGGAGGGATTTGTGGAGGACGTCAGGGGCTACGTGGAGAAAAAAAAGACTTACGTAGATGAGCAGAATGAGCATTTTGATGCAATAATAGAGACCACTGAACAGAGTCTGGCAACATTGAAGAAATTAATCAAATTCCTTGAGGAGCAAGAAGCTGAGTTGTAACTTCCATGTCAGTTAGTGCCTCTATCTTTGATATTGCATCTAATTTACCTGTTAAGAGTCTCTTTCTCAATGTGCAGGTATATTTTAATGTTTCTATTTTCAATGTTTCAACTCCTCTTGAAATCATAAATCCCTTTTAGTTGACATAAAATAGGATGTTAGAGAAGGACTCACTATTGACATAGATATGGGATGTGTTGATATATTGACAACTTTTAATGAATACATTTACACACCAAGTGTAACCATTACAACTTGGGAAGTGGAAACAATGTTTCTGCAAAATGACACAAAATAAACAGTAGTTAAACTGTTACTTCTGGTAAGCTCAAATATTAAGGTGGCTAACTCAAGTTAATTGTGCATTTTCTGCATTGCGTTTTCTTTTGTGGGTTTATTTTTGACAGAAACCATAAAGCAAACTATATGATGTTCAATCTACTTTCTAACACTTACTTTGTTGTTAAATTGTTAAAAATATGCCATAATATTGAGGAAAGATGCCTTAGCTGTTATTAAATGCAGTTCTTGGAGTGTGAAAAAAGGTTCCAGTACTCTCCTTTTACATGTTGGCGTGTGTTCTTTAGCAAGTTAGTTTTGTATTAGTTTGATAAGGGCTAATGTTAGTGCGTCCTTTATAATTTCAGAAAATAGGACTACTTCTATATAGCTTACCACTAGTAGGCTACAATATTAATTACAGTGTGACAAAATAGCCGTTTCATTTATGTGTGTTGCTTTCATTCATTAAATTATTGTGGAAAATGCTCTAAATGGTGGTTAGTCTCTAATTTGTTGATGTCCATAACCAAGTACTAACTTGTCATATTCATAACCATTTATAGAGAATAACAAGCTCAACATTTCAAAAGTTTGCTTATTGCTGTCAACGCTGTGTTGAAAAGTGGTGGGTACATAAGGGCTCAGATTAGGGGTGTGACCATATACTTGGGTCACGAAAGCAATACAAGATGATATTTTTATAGAATTGGGAAGAAATATATGATGGTGAAGTTTAAGAGTGTGGTGTCTGGGGGTTGTCCCCCAGAAGATTTTGATAATTAAACTCTTAAATTACTGCATTCTGGAGACATTTTCAGCACCAAGTATTTGTGGAAATGTCTTTATATGATGGAAAATAAAAAAATGGCCCATATAATTTGGACAATGCACATTTGTTTGTTGTTTATTTAAATTCACTGCATGTTTTCTTATTGTGCAAATAAGCCTTTTCAAATATTTTCTTTTGTCATTTATTCTTTCAGAACATTTTTATCAAATGCTTTCAAAAAGTGATGGAGATTCTGATTCTGACATGTTCCCAGGGTCCTCAGTGTAAATGACACCTATGGCCACCACCGTTTGTCCCACCCCATCCGGGCTGTGACTGGTCGGTTCACCTAAAGTGACATTGATGAGCTACTTTTTGCAAACAGCTGCATGAAAAGCACCCAAGCTTCTCCCTCGTCTGTCTCCTGCCAACAAATATTAGCAGGCAGGAGAGGAACAGGTGAGCATTACAAGATGCCCGGATAACCTGATACGGAGAGGGCTTAAAAGAGTACCAGCAACTTGTGAGAAGTGCCAGTACGCAAGAAAAAGTCGCAATAGGCCAAAGAGTAAAATGTATAAGTGCTGGTACTGTGTAGGCCTACCGGTGCATACCTGCACACTTTAAGCACAGATTAAATGATGATGTAACTATTGAGTGTATGTGGGCAGCCCAAATTAATTAAATATTATTGTCTGATGCCATCCCTCTTGCAATCATACTATATAAAGCCTTGAGTAAAATTTTAGTCATTTATTTATTTATTTTTCTCTCTCTCGCATATGTAATGCACTTTGACAAATAGATGTGTATTGTTTTAATCTTGATTTTATTATCTATTGCACATTAATTATCTAGCTTTATATTATAAAGTACCTTTGTATCCGTTTTTGGATCTTTGTGTCTGCAAAGCACCTTGAATGACTGTATTGTTTGGAAGGTGCTATATAAATAAAATTGCTTTGCCTTGCCCTGTCCAATAAAAAATATTTTCTGTGAAGATACAATGTCCAGCTGGTAAGTTAGCTTCTCTGTTGCTTCTAAAGCTTGATTTGTACTCCTGCGTAGGGTCTATGCCATGCATTTATACTTGTGCGTAGGTGTCTCCGTCATTCTGCAATTACACCCTCAAACTCTACTTGGCGGTAGCGCTACAGCATCCAGTGTGCTGACTTTTGCTGGCCGAGCAGGCTAACTTCCGGTTTAGGCCTCCGCTACCGTGAATGGGGGTAAAATTGTATACGTGAGGCTGTTATAGCCTTTTCAAATGTTATCGACCGAATGGATGACGAAACTAGTCATTTTGCTGACTCGTCATTTTACTGACATGTGAGCTGCCGCAGCATCTCATCTCTTATCAACCCACAAAGTTATTACATAATAAGATGTGATAGGGTCACTGGTTCTTTCATTTTCAAAATGACTTTTAAGGAACTACCAAGGCCACACCCTTGCTTTTGGGAATTGTTTGCTGATGAAGTACAAACATTAATAGGGCAGTCTGATGATGTTCTTCTTCCTAGTGTAAAGAAATACCAGGTGCAGATGCACTCTGAGGACAAATAGAACAGAGAGGAAAACATGGTGAGCACGAATAGATGGGCAAGACACTAATAATTAAAGGGACAAATAATTTCCGAACTTGAATTGCATTTTTTTATGACTATGTAATGGAGACCAGGGGTTTGATTACCTGAAATAGTTAATTGAGTATCTAGGTGGGGATAATTGATAAAGCAGGAAGGCATACACATTCTTATTTTGATTGTTTATTTAATTAGTGAAACTTTCTTTGCTGTGAGTAGTTCCAGAGGTGGCAAATATTAGTATATTAATTGATAGGCTAGTGAGAGACAGCGATTTAGGACAGATATACTAACATATTTATAGCAATAGCTAGGATAATTTAGTGACATAGAGTGAGATAGTGATAGAGACTAGGCTAGCACTAGATAGGTGTGTAGATAGATAGATAAATGTAGATTAAGATGGAGAATGCACAAAAGAGATCCCGTTCTCTGATGTGGGAATATTTCCATTTGGAAACCCGAAATAAAGTGAGGTGTATGATTTGTGATAGGCAACTTGCCTACTGCAACAATACATCCTCGATGATACGTCATTTGAGATGCATTCATCCTACCATTTTAGAGGGTGCAGAGGGTGGTAACATTCCCCATGCACAGGCCTGCCATCTAAGCAAGGTATGCATTGTTTGAAAGATAATTCAGAAGAAGAAATCCCAGTGTGTTAAAAATCTCACTGAGAAAGTCTTCAGTTTTAAAAATGTTGACCTGGTAATACATCTACAATGTCCAAACCACAACGACAACAACACTTAAAATAACTGAATAGTACTAAGAGGCCAAAAATGGTGGCTAAAATGGGCCTTGTATTGAATTAAAATGTTTTCAAAGCTACCTGCTTATCTAAGCAACAAAGAGTAATGGCCCCATAGTTGTAAGTGTGTTTTATATAATAGATATTTTAGTTAACATAATTATTTAGAATTTGAAATGTGAGTTAATTTTTCATACTATTTGGCCAATGCTGTCCAGCTTACAAATAATGGCCTACTTGGCCTAATAGTCTAAAGCCCTAGGTGCTATTTCAAGCTAGATCTGTTCCGTTTCAATAATTTTGTCAAACTGAAGGTTTTATGTTCTTTTTAAAGGCAGACAGAGAGAGCTGGATGAGGCTTTGGTGAATCTGGTGGTGAAGGATCTACAGCCCTTCACTATTGTGGAGGATGAAGGCTTCAGGATCCCAACTACATCCTCCCCTCTACGAAGACGCTGAAGGAAATGGTCAGTGAGAAGTACAACACTGCCAAAGAGAAAGCCAAGGCTGACCTAGAGAAGTCTTACTTTGTCAGTCTTACGACTGACATGTGGTCATCCATTCATATGGATGGGCACCTTGGAGTTACTTGCCACTACATAACACCAGAAGCAAAGAGGATAACTGTGGCACCATGTTCCCACAGTCCCACACAGCCCAGCACATAATGGAGGCAAAAAGTGTGCTCATAGCTGAGTGGGGAATAACCTCAAAGGTTCAATGCCTTGTGACCGATAATGCAGCAAACATGGTCTTACGTGCCCAGCTCCTGAACCTACGTCATGTTGTGTTTTTTGCCCACACCCTAAATCTTATTGTGAAGAAGGCCATTGATCAAACACCAATACTTCATGAAATCCACAACAATTCAAGGAAGGTAGTTGGATTATTCCGACCCAGCTGCAAAGCCAAAGACAAGCTTGTGGAGATGCAGGGATTAATGGGCAGACCAATACTGAAACTCACAAAAGACGTGAAGACTAGGTGGAACAGCACATTTGACATGCTGCAATACCTGTATGAACACATGAGCCAGTTGGTGCTGCACTTGCCAACCAGATCAGTGACACTGTTCCTCTTACAAGCCTGGAATATGAGGCAATTACAGAATGCTTAACACTGCTCGAACCTTTCAAGCTATCAACAACAGAAATGTCAGAGGAACAGAGACTGAGACAAGTTGATA